TGTGCAACAGATCCGTTCAAGTGATAATATGGCTGATTTGTTCACCAAATCTCTACCGACGTCAACCTTCAAGAAACTAGTATACAAGATTGGGATGCGAAGGCTCAAGGATGTGAATTGATGCTCTCATCATGGGGAGTTAATACGCGTTGTACTCTTTTTTCGTTACAAGGTTTTGTCCAACTGGGTTTTCCTTGCAAGGTTTTTAACGAGGCAACCAAAAGGCGTATTTCTAAACATGTGTACTCTTTTTCCTTCACTAGAATTTTTTTTCCATAGGGTTTTTTCCTAATAAGGTTTTAACGAGGCACATTATCTATGGACATCCAAGGGGGAGTGTTATAAGAAAAATTAAATTATGGTGGATGTCTACTCTTCATCCATGATCTTCTCAAATGCTTAATGACATATTCAATGACATATTTCTATGCTTAATGACATTTTCAATGACATATTTTTTTTCACTTTTCATGCCTATATAAAAGCCTTGTAATAGATAGGAAAATACACACAATTGAAGAAGAAAACCTCTTCCTTCTCTCTATCTCCATTTTTTGTTCATGTTTTACTAAATTGCTTTTATTTTATAACAACATGTCTTGTTCATGTTTTACTAAGTTGTTTTTATTTCATAACAGTAATCATTTTTTAACTATTAATTAAATAGATTATCTATAAACTGGGAAGTGTACAGTTAGCCACTAATTAGATATGTCTTTACTCTTTAGCCATTATTTAAAATATATTTACTCTTTAGTCAGTGCTTAATAAATTTTTATCCGTCCGAATGAAAATACTCATGTGCTAGACATGGGTGTTGTGTAAATATTAAGGACATGGTGTCCTTAACTTTATGAATGTTATGTAAATATTAAGAACAAAGTGTCATGTATTTGCACCTTCCGTTGTTAAATTTTAGGACATCATGTCCTTAACTTCATATGTGCAGTGTAAATGTTAAGGACATGGTGTCCTTAACTTCATTTGTGCAGTGTAAATGTTAAGGACATAATGTTCTTAATTTGTATTTGTACCTCGTGTCATTAACTTAATATGTGTAGTGTAAATAATACGGACATGGTGTCATTAACTTCATGTGTGAAGTGTAAATGTTAAGGACATAGTGTCCTTAACTTTATGAGTGTTGAGTAAATATTAAAGACATAGTGTCCTTAACTTCATGAATGTCGTGTAAATATTAAGGACGTGTCTTGTATTTGCACCTTCAGTTGTTAAACTTTAGGACATCGTGTCCTTAACTTCATATGTGCAGTGTAAATGTTAAGGACATATCGTCCTTAATTTCATGTGTGCAGTGTAAATGTTAAGGACACCATGTCCTTAATATTTACACAGCACTCATGAGTCATGAAGAAAAGATAAACACGTCTTTTCTTATTAATTTTAGTAGAGTAGTGACTATTTTTGCTCAATATTAAAAATACTGGATAAAAACTAAATACCATGTTAAAAAGTGATTATCCCAAGCCATTTTCTCTGTATAAACGTGGAAGGAAACTAGTCAAAGAGAGCCACAACTTGAATTGAAAGAAAAGAAAGACGAGAAAGGTACAATCACACATAAACGTGAAAATTTTAGAGAAGACTTGACTAGTTGTGTGGAGGCAGGTAGGCGAGGACTTTGGAAATAGAGAAAGTGATTTTTTTTTATTTAAAAAAAAAATGGTTTTTACTTGGCGTTCAATATTCGTATTGGCCCGACTAATTCAGATTCATGTCGCATAAAACGCATCAAATATGGAAGCGTTCTCTGTCAAGATTTTTCTCATACTCAGAACTTGAATTCAAAAATTTCCGATTTAAAATGAAGATTTCTTATCCGTCCCAAGTGGTTTAAGAAAAAATGGTACCACTGAAACTTAATTACTGCTACATATTTTTCACGTTTGCTAAATGTTATGCACGATTACAATAGAACTTTATGACATAAAGTTATTTGAATAAACTAATCATAAGTAAAACTTCAACATGTATCGGTTACCGGAAAAACAATGTAATTAACCGACTACAATCGATGTATATAATGTTTTACACACAGTATAGCACGTTTTAATTTTCAGAAAATATTCAAAAGAAAAACTATTTTTTAAAGTTTCTATTTTTAATAGACTGTCAAGAGACACTACTATCCACAGGTTTGCTGGTGGTACTCTATAATTCCCAGTTCTTCGCCCCTACTTTATTACAGCAATCTCACGTACAAGGGCGGAGCTAAGGGTCTGTTTGGAAAACTGCTCGATAATTAAAATTTGTGTAATTATTAGTATAGTAATTATACAACCTAGTAATTATGACGACCTGTTTATTTGTTGTAACATGATTACAATGTAATTACTAGCGTACTATTTGGTTGCACAAGTGTAATTACACAATTATATTAAATTTTAAATGAAATAATTATCAAAATTTAAAAATTAATATAATAAATATATGCCTATAAATAATTTTTTATAAGTACAAAATGATATTAGATTTGGTATTTAAGATGCATGATTTTTTAAAAATATAAGTTAATTAGTAGTCATATATTTATAACTAATATTGAAAATGTAATTGATATATATGTTCTAAATTAATAATATTTAATTTAATTAATTATAAAAACTAAAAATATATGTTTTGTAAGAACACCATGGAAAGCATGTCTGATAAAATAAATTAATATTTATAAATTCAAATATTTGACAAAACTAATCTATCAATTCTCACTAAAAAATGAACAACATGCAATGTAAAATAACAAGTCAATACTACTAAAACAAGTAAATTGGAACCATAAATATAATAAAATTTTAAAATAAAAAAAAATTAGTTTAACATATATCAAATACCAACATAAAAAAAAAGTTCCAATACAACTTAAGTTTAGGAAACATAATAAGTTTATAACATCATTCAACAACAAAATTCTACTTTAATGGCATTACTCATTATATGCCAAGTTTGTTAATGACTCGTTATTTCTAATATTAGGAGATGTAAAAAAAGTAGAATAATAACGCAATTACGCTAAATGAAGAAAATAAAATATACGACCAATTACATGGAATCACAAGAAGTAAAGGAATATTCGACCAATTACATGGAATCACAAAAATATACGACCATGACAATTGTGTAATTACACTCAAATTCAATTCCTATGTGGCTTTCCAAACATACTCTAAAAGTCTGAATACGAATTCGATCGAATTCAACATTTTTTGCTCAAACAACGTGTTTGTGTTAAAAATTTCATTAAATATAAATAAATAGTAAATTTAGAATTCAATTATTAACACTTGAAGTCGTCATTCTAAAATTTAGAACTCATAACGTTGAAATTCTAGTTATGCATATGCTCGTGTATGATCTCAAATGATATCCATCAATAGTACACTCGTATTTGGTACGAAGGGAAGATAACTTTTTTCCTACAAAATCTTTTTTCAGGAAAATATATTATTTTCTTACTTATTTTTTAATGTTATTAACGGGAAGTATTTCTCGAATTATATTTTTCTATGTTTTAGTCTTTTAGAAGACAACAGTTTCAGGCCTTCACTAATTACCCCAATGGTTCGATACAAGCATCTTACTTTTCACTTTACTTGTTAAATGCAGTATTGAAATGTACATTTTGATATATCAATCGATAATGTAAACTTTAAAAGCTTAATTAAAAAAAGATAAGAATATAGCCATTACTCTCTCCAACATGAGTAGTTTTTCATTTAAGAAGATATGTTCTTTGACGTATTAAGTCACTTTCACTAGATATAGTTTGTTAATAAAACTTCGTTTATTTTGTTACGTTGATATTTCCTTTAATCTAAAAGAATGATTTTAAGAATAGGTTTGTGGTACAAAAAAGAAATAGAAAATGAATGGAGCAAGAAAAAAGCAATTAGTTGAAAAACTGAACAGAAGAATTTCACTCATAAGTCAGTGGTAAACCTGAATTGTATCACAACCAAATAAACAAAAACAATATTCTCCACAAATTTCTTAACAGAACCAACTAATAATTCCCTTATTTCTTCTGCCTCCACATACATAAATACTCACTCTATTATTTCAAACGAGTTTAATTTCTTTACACTGGCAGAGCCCAGGGGAAGCAAAAACATTGTCAAGAATCCCCAAATGCTCTGCAATAAAAAGAACCAAAATTATAATTGAAGAAACAATTATCCATTCGTCAAGAAAATCCCCAAAAAAAAAAAAAAAAAAAAAAATTAATATGGCGGATGCTGGAAAAAAGAAAATAGCAATTGCTGGAATTGCTTCAATTCTTGTAGTAGCTTGTATTGTTGGTGCTGCTGTTACACTTACCAAAAAAGGAAATGATGATTCTTCAAATTCTCAAGTTTCAACCTCTACCAAAAATGTACAAGCCATGTGTCAACCAACACAATATAAAGAAACTTGTGAAAAAAGTCTTTCTTCAGCCAAAAATACAAGTGATCCAAAAGAATTAATTAAGACAGCATTTGATAGCAGTGTTAATGAAATTGCTAGTTCAATCAAGAATTCTGCTCCATTTAAGGAAGCTGCAAATGATCCAAGGACTAAAGATGCACTAAAAGTTTGTGATGAAGTACTTGATCGTTCAATCGAAGAAATTAAGAGGTCTTTTAATAAATTTGATAGTTCCGACCTCAAAAGCTTGGTCAAGGATTATATTTATGATCTTAGGTCATGGCTTAGCTCAGCTGTTACTTTCGAGACGACTTGTATTGACGCGTTCGCGAACACGACCGGTGATACCGGTGAGAAAATGAAGAACCTCTTGAAAAACGCCCACGAGCTTTCCACTAATGCCCTTGATATTGTTAGTAGCTTCGAGGAACAGGTGGAAGATTTGCAAATCTTGGGCATTAATAACAGGCGGCTGTTAACCGTTGAAGCAGGTAACTATACCCTCATTTAAAAGTAAAATAATTTTTAAAGGTTGAACCGGTCAAGTTTAAAAATGAGAGCCTTGGAATAACGGTTAACTTGTCTCCGCGTGACCTATAAGTCACGGGTTCGAGCCGTGGAATCAGCCACTAATGTTTGCGTCAGGGTACGCTGCCTACATCACACCCCCTTGGGGTGCGATATTTCTCCGGACCCTACTTGAATGCGGGATACTTTGTGCATCGTATTGTCCTTTTTTAACCCGTTATATTTAAATTCTGGATCTGGTTCTGCAGGTAACCGTAGGCTTCTTCAAGTCGCGCCCCTCAAGCCAAACGTCGTCGTTGCTCAAGATGGCAGTGGACAACACAAGTCAATCAATGAGGCTCTTAAGACTGTGCCCCCAAATAATGCACAGCCCTATGTCATTTTAATTAAGGCTGGAATTTACAATGAGTATGTTCAAGTTGCTAATACAATGACCAATGTTGTCTTTATTGGTGAAGGCCCAAACAAGACCAAAATAACTGGCAACAAAAATTACCTAGATGGTCTCCCAGTTTTCAGTACTGCCACTGTTGGTAAGTACAGATTTTTTATGGCCAAACACGCCTTTATTCTAAATTGTTAAGGAAATGGTATTTGACCTAATTAGACCCCAAAACATTAGCTCATGATCATGCAAAAATTATCCAAAATTATTTTTTATTTTTGCGAAGTTTGTTCATCTGTTCACTTCTTTAAATATCGACATTATGTAGCCATCTCGGGACAAGGATTCGTGGCGAAGGATATCGGATTCGAGAACTCAGCAGGACCGTTAAAACATCAAGCTGTTGCACTCCGTGTTTCAGCTGAAATGGCAGTGTTCCAAAACTGTCAAATAGATGGATACCAATACACCCTTATGACTCATGTTGGCAGACAATTATACCGTGACTGTACCATCACTGGAACCATCGATTTCATCTTTGGAGACGCTGTGGCTGTGTTCCAGAATTGCAAATTGATCGCGAGAAAGCCCGAGGAGATGCAGACGCAAGCGATCACAATCGCTGCTCAGGGAAGGAACCAGCAATTTGGAACAGGTTAGTGGTTCAATTGAATACTTTTCGCTGATCGTGCTAGTAAAATAAAAACAAAATTTCTTATATATGTACTCATTTCGTTTATAAACGAATGATGCATTTCTAAATTTTGAAACAATTAAACTTGAACTTTCCAATTTACCTTTGACGACAAGTTTTTACTTCCATACAAATGTAAGAACATGCTTAAGTCGTATAGTCACACAAATGTCATCTCACATTTAATACCATAATTTAAAAGTCAATCTTTATTTCGTGATTAATCAAATTAAGTCATATAAATTGAAACAACGAGAATACTATAAATATTTTAATCCCTCCGACATGAGTGAAGCTTTTAGGGGTCGTTTGGTTGGAAATAAGTTATCTCAGGGTTAATTATTTCAGGATAAGTTATTCTATCCTTCCATAGAGATAAAAAACTACTACAATCCGGGGATAACTAATCCCGGAATTAGTTATACCGTAATTTTATCCCAACCAAATACGGAATAAGCTCATCTCAAATTTAATCCCGAGATTAATGATCTCTTATCCCTCGTATCAAACGAGCCCTTAATGTATCACTAGTTTGAATCTTAGATATAGTATTCTTGCATTATATGTTTAAATTTTCTTGTTATAATTTCTGACTTCGCCACCAAAACAGGTGCGATCATTATACAGAATTGCACGATTACAGCTGAGCCAGCTCTACTCGCCATCAACCCGCCACGTAACAAGGCATACCTCGGACGTCCATGGAAGTTATACTCAAGGACAATAATTATGCAATCTCAGATTGATGGATTCATTGATCCTGAAGGATGGACACCATGGGCTGGTACTTTTGCCCTTGACACTCTATATTTTGTTGAATATCAAAACAGAGGTCCAGGTGCAAACACAGATAAGAGGGTAAATTGGAAGAATTATATCAAGAATCCAACACCAGATGTTATTGCTAAATTTACTCCTGGAGTTGTGCTTAAAGGTGGTGATAATACTGATACTTGGGTTACTAAAACTGGTGTCCCATATGAACCAGGGATGATGAAGGTGTAAAATATTTTTGATGATGACTTTGCAATAAGTTGTTATCTTCAATAAATTGAAAAAAATATTTTATTTTTTTCTATTTTATTTTATGTCTCTTGCTTCTTCAAAGTAGTTTTTTGAAGAAAAAAAATACAACAGAATCAAAAGTGACCTTAGTTTATGGTAAGATGAATGAAGAATTGAAATTCACAAGAGGAGTACGATTGACTGTCCTAACTACGGCAAAAATATTTCGAGAAGTTAATTAGCATGGCATACTTCTATTTATTGATAATATCTTTCTAGATCTTTCTGCAACACAATTTGAACAAATTAAAATGCTCTTCAATTGTCTCTCCTCAATGGCATCTAATGTGGCGATGCGGGTAAAATATTCCACGAGTCCTCACCACAAGATTGGTTATGTATTTCAAGAGAGTATTAGACTCACTTGAAACAAGAATAGAAGGTAAAGTGACACAAGATTGGTTATGTATTTCAAGAGAGTATTAGACTCGTTTGAAACAAGAATATAAGGTAAAACGACACTCGCTAAGTTAGCGTGTGAAAAAATCTTGTGCACACTAGTTAGTGCAATTTATGTATTTTCCACACGTAAAAGTTGGGCAAGTTACACATTTAGCTAGTCGGCAAAAAATAATTACTTCCGCTAGCTAAATATATATAAAAAAATATACACTGATATGTATAAAATATTTTAATTATATATTAATTTACAATATATATATATATATATATATATATATATATATATATATATTTACGGTTTTTTTTTGGAGTGGCTATACAATATAATTTTTCCAAAAAAGTTTATCAAACCTTCTTTTATAGACTCCCTCATATCTGTCCAAGTTTGGCTTTCTCAAAAGACTCGACTAATAATGTCACGACCCAAACAACAGGGCCGCGACAGGCACCCGGTGCCTTACACAATCGAGTACCAACGTAACATATCTTTCTTATCTTACCGTCATGAGTAAGTGGTCCATAAGGGTCGTCATGAGCTAACGAGAATAAAACATAAAGGAATGCTAGACATAGGACGACCCAACATGATATAGGAACTTATACATGTGACATACGGGCCTATAAGGCCGACATGATCATTTGTATACTCAAAACATAGGCCGATAAGGCCATACAAGTATCCATATACTTGACATTTATGTGCAAGCCTCTAAGAGTACATAAATGTCATAAAGATCGGGACAGAGCCCCGCCATACCAATCAATACATATTCAAATCATACTGACCAAATAGGCAACTCCTGAGCAAGTGGAGTGCACAAACACCTTCCGCTCAGCTGATAGCCTACTAGGAGAACTCTTAACCTGTCTATCGGGACATGCGGGCATGAAACGTAGCGTCCCCAGGTAAAAGGGGCATCGGTACAAATAAAGTACCGAGTATGTAAGTCATGAAAATAGTATATAAAAGACATGAAAGAAACATGGAGTAAAGAACTCAACCTGTAATTCTGAATAGCTCTGTGAATTATGAAAAGTTTATATTGTCATGCATGTGCGTATAAATATCATACCATGCATAGGTATATGCATACATAACATCATCAAACCTCTGAGGGCATCCCACCATATCATCTCAGCCACTGTGGGCAAAATCATCAACGTATACCAGCTGATCAGGTGGTGGTATGTATATAACGCCATAACATTTTCCCATACCCCATATACATATACTATACGCATATATAATATCATCTGGTCATAGGTCAGTATACATGTATAAATGGATGCAATGCATAATGAAGTAAGTCAATAATATCTCTCGGAATGTCATGAGACCCATGAACAGACAATATGAAAGTAGGACATGTAGGGAATCTAGAACATAGGAACTCCTAGAACTTTTATGAATAGAGTCATTTATGCACATTTCATTTGTATCATATTAATCATACCAAAAAGAAAGAATGAATAGCCTTAACATACCTCAAGTCGTCAATGCAACTCAACAACAAGCTTATGACAATTAGCGCGCTAATCCTATAACAAAAAAATACTTGTACAACTTAGATGGCGGTGGTATATCACGTATCTCAAATGATAACTCGATTCTAAAATAAAACGGACATCATTTCCCTTGATATCACTGCTCTCTCAAGCCTACTATAGGCGAGATACAAACACAATACAATCAGCAACTAAAAAACAACCCAACTACAATTCGGGACCTTCAATACAACAAAACTCCCAAATATGCCATAACATACCCAATCAATAAGTTATCAATTAGCCTGAAATTGCAACGACGAGCGACCAACCTACTACCCTACCACATGTGGCATTTCTCCATGCCCTTCATCCTTCCAAGCTCCATAAATCAACAGCACAATAGGCCAACACGAGTGGACTACAAAACAGTTCACTAAAAGTGAAATAAATCAAACTCACTGCTTTCGATCACCATCCCGTGAGTTCTAAATATTAGAAAATTAATTTATCAACACTCCTTGATATTTAAACACTTAAACACAGAAATTAGACGTTTCTTAACTATGAATTACCTTACAAAAATCGAATTACAAAGAAACAAAGAGAGGCGGTCTAATGATACTTATGTCGTGAGGATCGTTCTGATGTTATCGCTTCTCGACTTCGTACCCGGGATGTTAGTATTCTTTGAAACACTATTAGAGAGCTCAAGGATAGGTTTTATGGTGTTCTCTGGTCGGGTTCTATGTAAAAATGAAGAGAAAGACGAGTTAAGACCTATACATCAACTTTTGAAAAGTCAAAGAGGTTTTAACTTGGCACCCTCTCATTGGCCCATCTTCCAACGCTTATATCTTTTTATCCGGATGTCGTATGAAGGAACGGTTAAGAGCATTGGAAACTACATTCCAAGACTTTCAATTTGGTATTTAATATGTCCCAAAAGACCTCATATAACACATGAAATTTATTTCTCAAAAAGCTCGGTTACAAGGCAAATCCTTAGTCGATTTTTCCGCAACTTAAATTTGATTTTTTTCAAACTTTATATTTTCTATCCAAACATCATATATAGCCATATTATGACTTTAAACTCATTTAAGTCATGATTAACAAGTCTCATATTCATTATACGTCACTTTGGGACGCACAAGGTATAACAATCTTCCCCCCTTAGAAACATTCGTCCTCGAATGTTAAACTCTCAGAGATCTACAGAAATTTTTGGCAGAGTATCCTCTATAATGGTACTACTACCAATCTGTCAAACAGAAAACCCAACAACACAAAGCCACACAGGGCCACAATCATCAATAACACAAATGGCCTCACATGACCAATGACAATAACTAACATAAGAATCAAGTACCATATACATACCTAAAGGCTGTGATGTCTTAGTCTGATTCTCCTCCGGAAGCGAAAAACATGTGGGGATACCTAGACTTTCATGTCTTCTTCAGCTTTCCAAGTCATTTCTTCCACATTCTTATTCTTCCAAAGTACTTTAACTGAAGCTATGTCCTTAGTTCTCAATCTCCGAACTTGTCTATCTAGTATAGCAATGGGAGCTTCCTCATATGATAGTTGCTCTGTAACCTGAACATTGTCAACTGGAATGACTCTAGAAGGATCTCCAATACAATTGCGGAGCATAGACACGTGAAAAACTGGATGTACTGACTCCAAGTTAGAAGGCAAGTCTAAATCATATGTTACCTAGCCTACTCTGCGTATGATCTTATAAGGTCCAATGTACCGAGGGCTAAGCTTTCCTTCCTTACCGAATCTCATAACGCCTTTCGTCGATGATACCTTTAGGAATACCTAGTCATCTACCTAAAACTCCAAGTCTCGTCGTCGATTATCTGCATGGGACTTCTGATGACTCTGAGTTGCTAATAGCCTTTCCCGTATAAGCTTAATCTTCTCAACTACCTGTGGTACCAACTCTGGTCCTACTAACTTAGTTTCCCCAACCTCGAACCATCCGATAGGTGACCTACACTTTCGTCCATAAAGTGCTTTATATGGATCCATCTGGATGATTGAATGATAGCTATTATTATATGTGAACTCAATAAGTGGAAGATGATCATCCCATCTACCTCTGAAGTCTATCACACAAGCCCATAGCATATCCTCCAGTGTCTGAATAGTACGCTCCACCTGACCATCTGTCTGGGGATGAAATGTTGTACTAAGACTTACTTGAGTCCCCAATCCTTTTTGGAAGGACCTCCAGAAATTAACTGTAAACTGAGCACCTATATCTGAGATAATATATATAGGGACACCATGAAGTCGCATTATCTCCTTAATGTAAAGCCTTGTATAATCCTCTGTTGAATACGTAGTCCTGACAGGCACAAAATGGGTTAATTTTGCAAGTCTATCAACAATAACCCATATAGAATTGAACTTACGCTGGGTACGAGGTAAGCCTATGATGAAATTCATATTAATCACTTCCCATTTCCAAGTCGGAATCTCTATAGCATGCAATAATCCAACGGGTTTCTGATGCTCAATCTTAATATGCTAACAATTAGGGCACTAAGAAACAAACTATGCTATATCATTCTTCATTCCGTCCCACCAGTATATTTCCTCGGTATCATGATACATCTTTGTCGCTCCTAGATGAATAGAATAACGAAAATAGTGAGATTCTCCCATAACCTGTTGGCGCAACCCTGCCACATTAGGAATACATAATCGACCTTGATATCTGAGGACTCCATCTCTTATAATCTCACATGGTATATTATCCTTTTGAGGGGATGTATCTCTGTAATGAGCTAACACATGATCCTCATACTGGTGTTCCTTCACTTTAGTTACTAAAGAGGATGTTGCCGTGTCCTAAATAGTAACTCCGGTATCACCTGAGTCCAGCAATCGAACTCCAAAACTAGCTAGCTGATAAATCTCATGGGCCATCCCACTCTTCTCTGTCTGTAAATATGACAGGCTACCCATAGATCTACGATTGAGGGCGTCGGCTACTACATTTGCCTTCCCCGGATGGTATACAATATCAATGTCATAGTCTTTCAGTAGCTCCAACCATCTCCTTTGGCGTAAATTCAATTCCTTTTGCTTGAAGATGTATTGAAGGCTCTTATGAT